AAGGATATGTTTGAAGTAAACCCGCACTGGACCGGCGTTTTTGACTATTGCCTAGTCACCCCTAACTTAGGGTAGATTCCGAGCCCTTCAGTGAGGACAAATAGTGAGCTGATGACGATTATTGTTTCAGTTTAGTCATTTGTAGAATTATTTTTCATTAGTTCTTCGTATGTATGTTGCCAGTGGGTGTCGTTTTGGATCAAGCCGGACGCGGCGCCGGCGCGAGTGACGCTCGGCGTGACGTCACTCCTGACGCTGTCCACACAGCACGCCAAGTCTCAGGCGCAGCTGCCGCCCGTCTCCTACCTCAAGGCTGTTGATGCCTTCATGTCTGTCTGTACCGTGTAAGTTGTAACATTAAATAGAATCGAACTACAAGCTAATTCTGGATTTAAAATAATAAAAAACCACCACCAACGTACCAACAGAAATAATTTATGAAACTAACTCAAACTAAAATTATAATCCGAATGTTTGGATGTATGAATGAATGGATTTTTCTTAGAAGGTATCTCCATAGCTACATGGATCTCGCTGAAAGTCATAGATGTAGAACATAGTCTGGAAGAACACATAAGCTACTAAGTTTTTTTTTAATTCACCGCGGAGCTCTTTACGTGGTAGTCATACATACAGATAACACTCGAGTCTAATATTTCTGTGTCAACATCGACGAGTCAGTTAATTAATACATAATAATGTCTACGTAAGTTTAAACAATTTTATCCTATTGTTATCTTGTTCGACATATTTCTGTAGGAGCCTTTATTGATCGCAGTTGTCTTCTGTGTTCCAGATTCGTGTTCATGGCGCTAATGGAGTACTGTCTTGTCAATATAATCTTAGATGACGGGGGTCGGAAGCCCAAGGTACTTTTATTTAAATTAATTCGAACAATAATTTACAAAACTAGCAATATGTCAACACGAGATGGCGCTCGTAGCTTCGAGATACTTTTAATTAAAAATTTTTATTTAAATTGTAATATTTGTAGTTCGGGAGGAACCTTGCACCTCAATTTCGAAGCAGACATCTTCAAACTGAAATTTTGCATACATGTGTAAATCGCAATCTTATATCTTTTGCGAATTTATCGAAGCAGAAGACTGGGCATTGTAGTCGTCGATGGGAAAGGCCTACGTTCAAAAGTGATACAGAGCCATAGACAAGTTCAAAAAATTTTTAAGATTGTGAATAATTAAAATATGTTTTATATTTTACTTGTATTTCCAGGAGCCAGCCGAAGCCGCTAAGGCCAGGCTACGTGCGATCAGTATCGACCGCTTCTCTCGCGTCTTCTTTCCTCTTCTCTTCTCTGTTCTCAACGCCACATACTGGATACAATTTGCGCAATACATCTAACTGTCTTGTTATTCATAAACTAAACCTGATCTTTTATCTTTAAACTATAACAGTGGCTTTCTAAGACCAAAGTCCCCGGTTAAAACATATTTTCATTTCTGTTTTGATGACAGAAATATGTTTTAAACGGAGATTTTTGTCTCAGAAACCAACGGTTAATTTTTTAAGTAGAAGAAAGGCAATTTTTAAATTTTAACTCTTCCAGTCTCGATTTAGCAAAAACTTTAATAAAAGATTCCTATAATTTTATTAACTCTGAATGTAATTAGTTTGTTAGTAAACTGAATAACTATTTTATGGATTTAATTATTCAGTTTTAGATATAGTTTTAATTCTTATTATGATCTGCTTTATCATGTGTCAAAACCTTTTTAGCCGATTAATTAGAAGGTTATCAATTCGCCTGTATTTTTTTAATTTGTAGAAAATATCATAAGAGTGTTTATGGGATCAATGGTGATTCTATCAAAAACATTTAAGGATATTATTAAATTAAAAACATACATTTTAAATAATAACAGATAAATAAATGAATAAAATGTAGAAGTAGATAACCCAATAGTTCCAAAAGAAAATAAAAAAAAGATAATAGTGGAATTCTGGATGCACGCATTATTTTTTTTGTTTATTTTTAATCTGTCATAGATCAACAACAAAACTAAAGTGTCATTAATTTCGATACTAACGTAATGACATTGGTAAAATAAACAGAAATTTTAATGAAACAAATTATAAAAGAAAATATAAAGTAATTAAATTACATTAACTACTCTTTTAATTAATTATTTCACAGTACCTCATTAACATATACCCATAGATATGTAATCTATTAATTGAATGTTTTATCATGTTTCAGAGGTCAAAATCTTTGTATTAAACATATCGTCATCCCTCTCATTATCTTTGACAAAACAGAGATAACGATATGTTTTAAACGAGGATTTTGGTCTCAAAAACGGTTAATTTTCCAAAAGTGCCAACATTGAGGAAAATGACAACAAAAGGCACTGATCTCTATAAATGGACTGGCTATAACACATAGTATTTTGTGCCTATGTGACCTTCGCCATTTTGACACTGTTGGTAGCGGTTTGTAGCGGAGGTGTTTCGAACTAATAAAAGCTGTCATTTCCAAGCTGTCGCCTATCCATTTATCAGTCTATCTATAGCTTATAAATCTATAAAAATGTTATTAATCCTATTTTGTTTGGAAAAGGCCAAATTAGAGTTCTAAATAATTAAATGAAATGTTAAATCGTAGTAAATAAAAACAATGATATTTGTAAATTAATTTAATGAAACTCGAGTGTTAGTTATCGTTCACTTCTAAAAGAAGGGTAAGCAGTTATGAAACAATGATAAAAATATTAGTAAAGTTGTTATTACAAACGTCACTACGTACAAATTGTTTTGTGATTAAGATATATATTGAGTTGTTTTTGAAATTGTGTTTTATTTATAAAATCCTTACACATCCATAACTTTAATAAGGTTATCAAAAATGTGACTCTACATGGTTGATAAAACATATGAAGTCTATTAAAAACTATTCGCCTAGACTAAGTCAATTTGGTTAGGCGTAATTTCACTACATATACATGCCTCTCCTGCCTTCCACAAGGTTAAGGGAAATCGGCAGACCCGTTACATCTTTTTCGGATAACATACAGGGCCGGCGATAGGCTAGGGCACGGTTGGCCGCCTAGGATGTAATGTGTGTCTCTATGAGACTGCGGTAAAAAATAAGGGCGCCAGTAGAGCTGACACCGGTACAATAAAAATGCTTATTATGTATTTACTTATAAATTGTTTGTAACACAAAATTAAAATAACAATATAAATATCTGGAATCTTAAAATGTCAAAGAAATTACTCTTTGACAAAAAATAGAGCAACAATTTATACTAAAAATAATTGACACGCAAAAACTTTGATCACGCTACATTTAAAAAAAAACTTTCAGATGAGAGAACGGCCTACAAGGTTATATTTAATTGACGCTAAAAATGTTAGTAATGTACCTATTTAATGCCTAACAATACGTAAATCGGAAGTGATTAGATAAATTTAATTATGTTTTATACGGATTAAAATATTAATCGTCTGGTACAATGTTATTCTACTTTATCTGTGCGTAGAAAGGAATGTGGTAGGTGGTCATTAAAGATATAAAATCATACTTTTATCCTATTTTTTTTTCTAAAATAAGGATGGAGGACTTTTGCTCCTAAGTTGATTGATTATGTGTTTGTTGATTATGGGACTGACATGTTCAAAAGAACAAAAGTCCCTTAAAAAAATAAAGAGAAAAAAAAATAAGGCTGATTTTTACTTAAATAAGTTCAAACATGATGAAATAAAAATGGAATCATACGTCAAAAAATCTTAGTAACATATCAAATTATAGCTCTTTTGATAACAAATTTTATTACGATATTTAACCATAAGTGGGTACCGAATTTAAATCTTTGACTATAGTTAACTAGAAGCTATATATCTGTTAACCTTGTAGTAGAGAACATCTCGCAAAAACTGAAACGAATCAATCGCGCTCACTTATTTTATTTCGAGTGCGTTTATTTTAGACTTTTGTATTATAAATGCGTACAAAATCAAGGACACGATGACTTTACAACGGTGATAAAAAAAAATCAAGTAACAAAGTAATTTTTTAACTTAATTTGTCTGTGCTACAACTAAGGTGGTTAGCTCTTTGGGTTAGTGGGACTTTCAGACTACGAGTTTGACATCGATGTTTTCAGATTATAGTGAAACGAGACAATTTATTCGTCAGGCGCAAAAGACGAACGGATACAAATCACTTAATTTCTGTTTTTTGGTACTCGTTTTTTTGTTTTCGCAGTCAGTTCCGGGTCTTCATTTGTTAAAAGTTGACAACTGCCGCACCGCGTGTGAATCGCGAAACGATAACCTCATAAGTATTTTTTTATTGCAATTAATACATTTTAGTTATAAAACACGGCAACAACGCAACTGCGACCTTCACCTTACGATGTGAACTTGATAAATCCCTCGAGTACTGACAAATTGAAGCAAAACACTGTAATTGAATTACAATTAGTTATGCTACCGGTACTTTTAATCTTAATATTACTATAACAAGTTGAAAAGCAGATAAATAATAACGTACATGTATGTATGGAGGTATTAATCCTTTTAAATTAAAACGATGAGCCGTGTAACAAGTTTTTCAATAAACAATGTACATTTTGATAAATTATATTTTGTACGCTGACAAAACAAAAATAAGCGTGGAAATCGTATCTAACTTTTGTTCATGGTTGACAATACGCGTTTAAATTTAAAGAGAATGACTCTACACACAAATCTCACTAACAATGGGTTGAATATCTTTTGTTTCTAAACGTTGAAACTACATGCCGGACTAGTAATGGAAATCGGTAACGAAACAGACGCTCTTCACAAATTAACACAGTTATTTAAATGAATAAAACAAATAATTTATTGCAAAAAATATCAAAAGGAATAAACCTATCAAGAGATAAAAATTCAAGTCATATGACATTTTTCCCAATTACATGCTGATAAAAAACTTTATCAAAACAAACATGTGTCACGACAAATCACAAAAACAAATCTAATGCGGAACGGAACGTTTGTAAATCAGAACATGTTTTAGTCGCGTTCAGAATGTGTTAGCAATGACGTGCGATTGACCATTCATAGCAGTTGAAGACCTCGACTCGCTATAGTTTTATTAAATAAGGGTGTATAAAATCAAACGATTTACAATTTGTAGATGTAGAAATAAGTTCTAGTTCATGGCCAAAATTGACATTGCGGTGTGAACTCTGAATGTACGACGAACTGTCACAATCGGCGCGACCGAGACAAGACACAAGTGTCAGTTGGCCACCGGTTGGCAATTTATTTGAACGTGTGTTAGTGTTTCCTGTTGGCGCGCAAGCAATTTGCATGGAATCGCATTTATTCAATTAAACATTATCTTGTTACACGCAGTGGACTGTGAATGGGGGATGGGTCCACGTAGAAATACATATATGACTTTAACCGCTTATTGACTAAGAAATCAAAGTGTCGACGTCCTTTTTCACATTGTTTTGAGTTACGAACTTTTGTTTTTTATTTTGTGTTAGAGGTGCAAAACCCGTTAACATGAAGGAACATCCAAATAAAGAAGAAACATCTGACGATGAGGCCGGTCTTGGATACCAGAATACGTTGGTAAGTCATTTAAGTAACAGTACTTTCTATTTTCTAGAAAAGTTAGTGCGAGCATTTGTGCAATTCTATTCCGCTTTGTTTTGAATCGTGGAAGTATGATTATGAATTGCAGAAATGTTTTGCAATTTATTACATAAATATGTTATCGCGTGTAAGAAGTTCTGAAAAACTTTAATATTAATGTCTAAATGTGTTCTCGTAATGTATTCTGCGAATTTTGAATATCAAGTGTTTTTTTACGGAATGCTTGTAGCAGGAAGTGTGTTTTAAACACGAGAAAATCAATCAATTTAAAAATCACAATTTATTGAATTATTTACGTCACAATTTCGCGTCTACGAAGAAAATAAAATAGAATTCTAAAACAATACCATTCATTTATTAATTTAAATTTAAACTCTATCTTCCATTCAATGTCATTCATTAGAAATAATAAACATCATTTCTTAACTGACCATGGCCTTATACTTGTAAAGAATATCTTTTATTCTATAATATTGTTATATTAATTATTGATTATTACTTTACATCATGTTTATACAATTATTTGTACACAAATGAATGAGATCTGATAAGTATATTACATACTAACTGTCGCTAGTGACTGCGTTTGCGCGGAAATAAAAAAAAAACGTAATTAGTAGCCTGTATGTTCTTCCAGGCTATGTTCTTCATCTATGTCAAATTTCAGCAAGATCCATGCAGCCGTTCTGGAGACACCTTCCAATAAACATCTAATGTGAATGTTAAACATTTATAGTATTAGTAAGAAGTAAGATATTTTATACATTATCTAATAATTATTTAAACATAGTAATCCAAGTTTTTCATTATTTTTTAATCCTGAAATGTATTTGTGTATTCTTTACGTTAGACACAATTAAAATGTTTAACAAAGTTCTTTAATAATTCAAGGTCTATGAGTAAAACAAGTTAAGAAACTATATATTATTTTTTTTATATTTTTTTATTTAACACTGACTTTCCAAATTGTAGTTGTTATATTCACCAATTCTTAAATCCTACATGACCTCTTGTGTTTGAAAGAAATGATTAGTTATCTGCTGTAAGGAAATACATTGAAAAATTGTCATTTCGCCCGGTATTTTAAAGAAACTTATGAATTACTGTAGCGGAATAGTTATTTACTGATATATTATGGAAATGGCAACAAATATTTAAATGTACTACAGATATATTTCTAAATAAACATTTAAAACATAACAATGACGAGAAACATTACCCTTAATTTTGATTTAAGAAAATTTGAAATAATTAATACTACAATCCAACTATTTTACTATCTAATTGACACATAGAATGGTTAACAAATATTCAAAATGATAGTAATATTAGATAGATGTCTGATTGAGATAGAAGACTATCTACTAACACATTGAAATGTGTCATAGACAATTTAAAGTAGTAAGTAGCAAGTGGAAAGGCATTGTGTTATTTTTATACTGATGACGGTTGGATTTATCAATTGCATTAATTGTCTTGTCCCAGCTTGTTCTTTTTATATCAAATGATTTAAATTAGTCTTCTGAATAAGACCAGGAAAACTACTAATTCTGTTTGAGTCATTATAATATCATTCAAACTTATAAACAATATTTGTATTCAAAGATTCAAACTTTATGGCTTGTTAACTTCCAGAGCATGTCTTTGCAGGGTTATTTCATAGTAATAGATGTCAAAAAAGCAACTACCTAAAATAGCAAAGACACCGTTGCTTAAAACATCTCTATTATGTTAAACTTTAAATGTATTGCCTACTTTTATAAACAGAGAATCATTTTATAACATACAGAATGTTACCAAACCCGCTAAATGCATTTTATGAAATGGTGGAAAGTGGATTTGGACTAGAATTTGTCTCCGGTAAATGCCAAGTGGTCTCCTGAGGCTAGGTACCTCTGTATCCCTTTACATTGTACTGATACCAAAAGTTCTCGCTACTCGTGTGAAATTACGAGGCGACATAAAGTTTGAATAGCATGGTAGTATTTTGTGTGACTATGTAGCCAGATGAGTTGGAAGTTCCCTCCACAATATTAACGAAGACGTATGTATGTGTATTAGAGGAAGAGGGGACAAGACTTAAGTCCGCCGACCTTGATGACCCGACCAGATTTAATAACAATATTCCTAGTCATTATTTTGTAAAAGGTCGCAGTTAAAATTAGCACTTTTGTTAGTTAATATCAAATTAACTTTACGATTTCATCAGATTAACGTCTTCGCTTTTTAACAATAATTAACTTTTAACATCTCTTAATAATATTATAAATGCGAATGTTTGATTGTGTGGATGGATGATAGTTACAAGGTATCTCGAGGTTCAATGGATCTTGATGAAATTTCGCACAGATGTAGAACATAGTTTGGAAGAACACATAGGCTACTTATTAAGTTTGTTTTTTGTTTCCGCGCAGAGTCGCAAGCGACAGCTAATCAACTAACAATTATTAAAAGAAGGGAAGCCCCTATTTTTATTTGCTCCATAAATTTTATCCATTTTGAGCATCAATTATAAATATCTTATCTTAAAATTAATATTTACAATAGTTATATACAGGAGCGCCAGTGGGTCAGGGGTTAAGCACTTGTTAACTCGTAATCTGCAGATCCCGAGTTCGAATCCCGCAATGTATAACTGTGTTTTCTGATTTACTTATTTACATTTATCCGACGTTCTTACTGTGAAGGAAAACATCGTGATGCTGCACATATCTGCGAGGAAATTCAAAGATATATATGAAGTCATCTCGCACTTGGCTAGCATGGTTGACTATGTCGTAGTCACTCCTAAGTTAGGGTAGACTCCGAGCCCCTCGATGGAGACGTATAGTGAGCTGATAAAGAAGCACAGATGCAAGATCCTGATAGCACAATATTATTGATAGTTTGCAGATTAAAATTTCGCAACATTTAAGTCTAAAACTAGTTTTATAGTTAATTAGGTCTTTGGATTAATTAACAAACACCTGATAAATGATATCTTTGAGTAAAGATTAACGAGAGTAGGTCAGTCTGTCCATTGAAATGCATGAGAAATTTCCTTAACATAATATTTACAGCTTTACCTGCAATTACGATAAACTAGTCAAAGAAAATGTTGTAAACTCGTATTAGTACTTAGCTAACATTAATTACTTAAATCCTAGATTAAGTCAATGGTTTAATGAAGAAAGGAGGCCTCATATTATTACGTATGTTGTGTTTACAATAATAAATTGTAAAAAAAACCTTGTTATCTTTGGCTTTTTAACAAATCTAACTGTCGTCTGAAACTCCGTCCGCGCAAAATAAAAAAAAATTAATCAGTAGCCTATGTGTTCTTCTAGTTGTTCTTGTTCTTCATCCGTCCGCCGGAAAATTAAAAAACAAACTTAATTAGTAGCCTATGTATTCTTCCAGACTATGTTTTACATCTATGATAAATTTCAAGCGCGATCCGTTGAGCTGTTCCGGAGATACCTTCTAATATCCATACATCCAAACATTCGCATTTATAATATTAGCAAGATATCTTATGTTAATTAAATAATTGCTATATTTAATAACATAGAGTTTCTTTTATATACAAAGGAGAACGAACGGTGCAAGAATATAATTCCAACTATGATGCTCCGTTTTCATCATCAGTCATATGTTCGCAATATCACTGTTATTTGCTTCAGAAAAGATTCGCTATGCCAATGAGAGAGTCTCAGTGGCTCAAGATTAAGCACTTGACTTATAATCTGCACGTCCTAGGTTTGAATCCCGCCATGTACCAATGTATTTTTCGATTTTCAATTTACACATGTATATTTATCCGACGTTCTTACGGTGAAGGCAAACATCGTGATGCGACCTGCACATATCTCCAAAAAAATTCAAAGATATGTGTGAAGTCAACCCGCACTGGGCCAGCGTGGTTAACTATGACCTAGTCTAGGCTCTGACCCTCTCAGTTGGGAACTATGTTGAGGTGATGAACGAGAAAAGAGCTTGGGAATATTTGTTCTAGAACCTTCAAGAAGTGACCAAAAAGTATTAGGTTCTATGTTATAATTTTATGTTAGTAGACTTAATCACAAATATATTTTATCTCTGTCCTGATATAGTGAGAGGGAATTAATAGCTAGAGATAAGAGGATTTTGTTAAGTCCTACCGTTTTATTCGATAATGGCGTTGAATCTCTACCTAAGCTTTATATGGTTTTTAAATTGGAAATAATCTTACTAATATTATAAATATAAAAGTTTAGATGTATGGATTATACAAGGTATCTCCAGAACGGCTGAACGGATCTTGTAGAATTCGGCATAGATGTAGAACATAGTCTCAAAGAACACGTAGGTTACTAATTCTTTATTTTGAATTTCGCGCAGACGGAGTCGCGGTCGATAGCTAGTTATGATATTAATGTTATAAAGGTATAATATAGTTTCGTCTTTTAGTCATATGATACAAATTATAAAGCTTCTTTTGGGAGATATTTTAATTGTCTTCAACGCATTAACGTTTATATTTTCGCTTGATTGTTTACTAACAAGATGTCTTATTAAACAGAACAAGTAGATAATTAAAATGACCAACGACCGCCGGCGGTAACCAGATATTACCAACAGTAATAAACATAACTGGGAATAGTAATAAATAATTACTAGAATACGGGGAACGTAGGACGTAGTGAAAATTGTAACCTTCCAGAGCTAAGATTAGGGAAATTCTAAGCCGGAATTTTAAGCAGTTGTCCTTCGACTATTTTAATCGATAACAAAATTGTTTCATTCGACTTTACTTCCCAAAACAATGACTAATAATCACACATAACTAGATAAAAGAAAAAAACAAACAAATGCACATCTATTGATATTCAACAATTCTCTACATATAATAATAAAATTGGAGTGTTTTTATCTAACACTAGTGGACGTCCGCGACTCCGTCTGCGAGGTATTAACAAAAAAAAACATAATTAGTACCCTATGTGTTCTTCCAGACT